CCGGCCTCCTTGAACCGTCATTACCCAAATCCAGAACTCTGTTGGACAAGACCAACAAATCCAAGCAAGAACACTGAAGGAGGTGAGCTACCGAACTTGACAAAGCACCTCAAAATCCTATAAAATTGCTCGTCTACATGACAACCGGGCCGTGAACAACAACACGCGAAGCCACTCGAGTGCAGTGCGGAGACTCGGTGATGATGTTTACTGGGCGCCGAGTTGCCCGACTGTCAGCTCACAGAGGCTCTTTACCCCCGTCTGTCACGGAACCGCTCAAGCAGAGTGGGGAGAGCAGCGAGTGTGTCTGTGTGTGTCTAAATGTAGAGAGAGAGACAGAGACAGAGAGAGAGAGAGAGAGAACTGAGCTGTGAAGGCGAGCAGAAATAAGCTCTCACCGAGGACGGCAGGCCAGGGGGTTTCCGAATCTTCTTTGGCTGGGTTTCTGCATACGAGCAGGCGGAGAAACAGAAAAGGTGAACGAGAGACACACAGAAGAACACGTATAAAGACACATTTCACAATGTTACGTCTTCCTGGGCTCTAAGTCCAATAAGTAGAGAGAAAACATGCATGTCGATCAGCGTGCATGAATGTTGCGGTGCATTCACACGTACAAACCTTTGTATGGAAAGAGAGTTGTCGAACGTGGACTTAAGAAATAAGCTGATAAAATTTGTACGATTTGAGCAGACAATTAAATGAAACTAGGTAATCTGTAACCATCGAGAAGAAGAAAAGACACCACGAGGGGAATTCCAGGTAATAAAAGCAAACGTAGAAAGATGAACGAGCAGGTTGTGTCCAGATGGATCACCTATGCCTCCATCGGGCGGCCTTCTCCTCGGGTTGGTGGGGTATGACGGGTAAAACTGGGAGCCGGTTTTCAGGCCGGAGGGGGACATGGCGTCCGGGCTGGGCATCGCTATTTCGCTGGGAAGGAAACCAGGCTAATAGAAGAGAGAAAGATGGAGAAACGGGGCTTTACAATTAACTACTTACGGGGGCGTAGACTAGCACAGCACAAACCACTTCTCTTCTGGGAAACGATGGCAGTTAATTCAAAGTGTTTAACATGAAAAGAGAAGTGAGAAAACAGGGTTTCCTTTACATGGCGCATTACATAAATTCATCTCTCACACACACACACACACATCACTGCAGTGCAATGCGAACATACCTGGCTTACAAAGGGAGGGTATGGTGGCCTCTCATTTTTACCTGCAAGATAAAAGTGGAAATCGTATGGACGTTAAGAAAAACGGCTTCCTTTTTGTTTATTTATTTTTAAAGTACGAAAAGTCCAGGGTTGCCGCCCCCCCCCCCCTCCCCTTTTTTCAGTACCCTCAGCTGCAGAAAGCCGCCTGCCAGAAAAAAACCTGGGGAAAGGTTCTGCTTCAGTGCCCTAACATCCCCAACACTCAACGGATGAACACAGGCGCGTGCATGTGCGCACTCACACACACACACACACACACACACACACACACACACACACACACACAGAAGACAAAGTATGCGTAACAGTCAAACCGGCCTTTATCAACGTGATTATTTTATCCTCCATCACAGGAAAGGAAACTTGCGTTGAGCTTTACACGTTTGCATTTCTTTTTTTATTACCCACATAAGGCGACTTAAAATGAGTCAAACGGACCTGCGACCCCCGCACTGATGAACGGAGAGGACAAGCCTTCATGCTCGTTGTAGTGGGATCCTTCAACGTAGCCCTGAGGGGGACAATGGCAGACACACAACAACAACAACAACATGAGTAACCTCAGAAGAGGAGACAAATGCAATATAAATCATGCAGGCTCTAACACGGGACCCACACTCAAATGATAAACCGTGTTTAGTGGTCTTGTTAATGCACCTATGTGGGCCGTCTTAGTGGGAACCCTCCCTCGGCTCTTCTGTCTAACTAACAGGATCCATGCCAAACAAATCCGCATCAGCTCGGGGGATTCGAGCCGACTTTTTTTAATTATCAACTTGTGGTAATCAAAGCCTGCTGCATCTATTTCACCCCGTGTTCCTTGTATTTACACAGAGTTGTGCCAAGACAGTTAAAGCGGATGTGAGGCTGCAATTACCGGTGGGCTTCCACAGAGGTTCTGGGCTGCTAGACAGGCTGCCAACGCAGGATCCCGAGCCAAGGTTATTAGGTAGAGAGTAAAACTACCACTTCAAATCGAACATGGCACACGGCATGAAACGGTACTAAGCTATTGTGCTGGTAGGGGGAGAGGATGTGTGTGTGTGTGTGTGTGTGTGTGTGGTCGACTGATCAACTGAACGTGTGCGAGCATGTGACAATATCACGGCATCTGGTGTCAATACTTGGATCTCCAAACTTTAATTTGTGTGCGGCTCAGGAGTGCGAGAGCGTGTTTGGATCTTACCCGTCCTTGGCTGAACGAGGGGCTGTTCTGTTCTGCTGAGCCCCAAGACCCAGAGCCGCTGCGCTCGTCTATTGCTGCAAGGAGACACATTGTTAAGACGGGACGGGCGAGGGGGGGGGGGGTGCAGGACACATGAAAAGACTCGAGGAAGCAGGTTGGATTAACGGATTGTTAGCGATTCCCTAATGACAGATACGTAGGAGTGCCCTGATGTCGGACATCAAGGGAACCCGTCGCCCCGTCCTACTCTAAACATCGGACGTCCCTAAGTGGCCACAGTGGGCTTACGCGCGCCGAGAGGGAGCATCGCTATTGATCAAAGCCGCCGCTGTCGCAGTCGAGGTGGAATGCAACGTTACACCCTTTCCAAAAATAAATAAATAAGCGAATTATTATGCTGCTCAGTGTACCCATCAGCGTTCATCACGGTCACTGAATAGCACACGATTAACCACTTTATAACGATGACACACGTAAACATGTGGAGTAACGCGAAACCAAAGAAGCATAAAGCCCCAACATGAACAGTAACGTTTTAGGGTAAAGGAAAAAGGCCGATGTGTGACACAAAGGAAAAACGCAGCCAAAAGACTGGTGGAGCAGAAATACCCCCATCATCCCCTTCTCCCCGTCTTATGCACTAATGCTATCCAGGCTCTCTGGAGACACAGGCCTTAATTGCATGCTGATTTGCATAATTGTGCATATTAATGCAGTTTCCTTATGAATATTCATATTTCGCCTTTGATTTTTGCCTAATTAAAAAAAATGTGTGTGAGAAGGCAAAAGAGAGCGAGCGTGGAAGCGAGGGGACGGGGGAGGGAGGGAGGGAGGGAGGGAAGAGCGAGAGGGGTCTGGCTGAGATCAGCAGCCTGACTGACGAGCGAGAATGAGTGATGAGGCTAACAGAGCGGTGCAAGCACCTACACGCGCCGCGACAGCCGTGATCTATGGAGCCCCACGCCGCCGGCGTGGAGAATCGGGCGGGCAGGGGAGGAGAGGGGACCTCGAAAAGACCGGCCTCGCTCACCGTCACGTCGGCACAGCCGGACAAAAAAAAAAAAAGACAGAAAAGAAGAAAAAAAAAGGCTCCGGACGCCGGCGAGGCGCTCGCCGCTAAAAAATAAAAATAAAAATGACAGACGTTGTGTGAAGACACGCGCGCCCCAAAAAGCCGGCGCCGGGAGAAATGAAATTTCTCAAATTAGAGAGATAAAAAAAGATGCCTTCAAAAGGATCAATTGATGAGTCTCAAAAATCGACTCTTTGTTTCCCCCCTCGGGAAGCTGCGGCTCCTGCGGGCCGGCAGACCGCGCGGCGCATTCCTCCCGCGTTCAGGTGACCGGCGATGTCAGGCGGCGCTGCCAGGCCGGCGAATAACTTCACAGGAAGCCCCCCATACAAAAAACACCCGTTGGCCTCCATTTGGCCAGCGGGGGAGGGAGGAGGGAGCGAAAAAAGCACAACTGTGCAGGAGAAGTCTGACAACGTTGTTTCACACTTGCCGGAGTAATTAACTCTGAGGCAATTAAAACAAGGTGGAGAGCTGCTGAGGCGACGCCGACGCCGGAGAGGAGAGGCCGCCTCGGCTGTCGCTCATCGCAATAGCAAACACGGCGACAATAAGGAATATTGTACAAAATAAAGGCTCCCAAGAAGCTTCAAATGCTGCAGGAAAATAAGTAATGCGCGGAGGTCAAACGCTACAGTGGCCCCTGGATTGGAGTTATTTATATCCTGTGTACTTTGCTCTTGTAAGCAGGTTTTAAAGGTCTAATTGTGAAAATCTCAGGTGTTCTGTACCATTCAAAGTAGGTCAGAGATGTACTCCTACATCAATTATTTTGACCAGTACAAATATTTTTAGTACTTTTGTTTCAAACCAACCCTTCGCCTATGACCTAAAAAAAAAAAAAAAGAATAAGAAATAGCTGTGAACACGTTTTGCATTCTCGACGAAATCTAAACGCAGTCTGTGCTTTATTTCATCCTTATCTAAGGAATGTATAAATGTATATCCCACAACAAAGCTCTCATACTGCTGTTCTCAGACACTTTCAAAAAGCTTCCGTTTACACATCATATTAGCAGAAAACCACAATCTTCCTTTAACGGTGAATAACAACATGACTGGAGCATCACAGTATTACAGTGCAATGAAACCTATCATTACCCTGGATTATGATTACTGCTGGATGTTCGGGCCGAGCGATAATTCTTTAGATAATTGAATCACATTGTAATAGAATCATATGTTGAGATGTCGCAGGGTGTTGTCTAAATTGATAAGCTCAAGCAAATTACTCAGATAACGTGATTTGGCTTTTTCATTAAAGAAATATTCTTTTCTACTTTTTTCATTCAATAAACTCACGCAAGAGTGAATATTTGGCCCTGGTGGATGTGCCAAAATGTTAACAGACATTTCCACATTTACCGATGCCAATTTTGAGGCGGGAAAAAAACAAAATAAAGCCCGCTGAAAGCCGAACGTCAATGATCTTCCATCATCTAAGAGTCTTTCGAATACCAAAACCTTTCCCATCTTCACACGGCTCACAATTAGCTGCATAAAGACCAAAAGCAAAGCAAGTGATGAAGATTAGCTGAAGTAATGCTCAAATGGGCAAAATAACATAGAAAGTGCCCCGTTTTAATCTACGAGTTACAAAAGGCACAACAAGGGTTGGCGTTAAAACAACGTTCTGCAGAGCGGACACGACGTCCATCCGACGCCGGCCAGCGTGACCGAGCTTCGCCAGGGACGTTTATTCTGCCGCGGAGCCGCAGCCTCCGAAAACAGGCGACACAACCAGGAGCGCGAAGCGCCACGCGCACGCCGAGCGGCCTGGCTACCAGGAGAGGCCACGTGAAGTGTCAATTCACAATGCCGTTTGTGGTGATCTCAGGGAAACGAGGCCGTCGCATCGCTTGTGTGTGTGTTGGGGGTTTGGAGACGTTGCCAGCAGCTGCAGAGGTGACAGAGGGGACGCCTGCCTGAAGGCTTGACCAGCTCCCACCTCACACTATCACACTCTGCCTCCCAAACATCCCGAGCTTCTTGCCAATCCTCTTCTCTCTCCCTGCACCCCGATACACTCTGCCACACACACACACACACAGGCCACTGAGGAAGGGAGAAGGACGCCTAATGCAATTAGCACCCCTCTGAGCCCTTTTGTGTTGATGAATAGCGGTGGTCTGGTGGGCCACTAGGCTGCTCGCTGCCGTTCCCGCGCTGCTGGATCCCTGAATATACAAGCCGGCTGAGCGACGTCACAGACGGACATTGTTCTTTAATGGTCATCATTTATACGATAAATAGGTTAGCCCGAAAGCCAAATTGTATTTTGACGTAATAAGCCCTCGCGTGGCCATTTAAAAGGAAGAAAACCCAGCCCTTTCATCGAATATATATATATATATATATATATAGAAAGAAACCATCTACACTGAATGTTCCAGCTCCTTCTTAAAAACATCCAGTCTGTCGACGTGAGATTAGTTGCACAGTTGCACATGCACACAATGCATGAGCTGCAATGTACTCGTGAAACAGGTACCTGCAGATCTCTCAACATGAATGGGACTGCTTGGAGCATTGCATTAAAATAGGTGTCGATGACAAGAGGGGCCACACTTTGGGACACGAGGAGGTGGTGGTGGGGAAAGGGGGGGGGCGCGTTGGAATTAACTCCTCACTGCTTAGTAATTGCCTGCTGTAATAGAAACAAACAGAATCCTGCCTTCCACAGGCTGATCCCTCTATTCAACAAGCTCCCTCTTCCACTCGGGCCGCTCGCTGCATGCTGGGCCGGTTTAAGAGGCGAGGGACATTGTCTCGGGCTCGAGCCATTTCCTGCAGATCAGTGGGGGTGAGAGCCCCCGGGCGTGTTGGGGGAGGAGTGTTTTACACTTCAGGGTGGAGGAGTCGTTTCAAGTCCATAAGCCCCCTTTTTTTTTTTTGCCTTTGTTCCTCAGTGGCCAAGTTCTCACTCTGGGGAACACTGGGGAGTGTGACTCGATTTCACACGGCAGGTCGAGGGGGGGGTGACAGAGGAACGAAAGTAACACGGCTTACTAATAACATGCAGGAAGAAGAGAAAAGCTCACTCAAAAGGGTTCGGGTGCTGGAGGGGGTTCACTGCAGCTACTTTGCACTTTAAAAAGAAGGGCTGGCTGAAGGAATAGGTGGGGTGGGGAGGGGGGGGTCATCAGACACATGTAAAAATAAACGCGTGGATACTAACAATTCTTTATAAAAAAAAAGGCATCAAATATTAAAAGAATGTTCTTCTATCAACATGAGAATCAAGGAACTACCAAACTGCTAAATTTGAATTTCTTCAAAATGTTCAACGGTTGGTTCTTTGGTAGCAAAAATCAAAAACGGATCAGCCGGTGGTTTAAACCGGAGGTTGAGCTTAAAAGAGTTTATATTTAGTGTAACCGCTAAACCGACATGCAGCCACAGTCGCCTAAAGTCACTCGGCGGAAAAGTTTACAGCAACAAAACGCACAAAAGAGAGGCAGAAAATTGCAGCAGTGACGAGTCGCCTGGAGGCTCACCTGATCCCTGAAACTGACTGCTGGCGAGCGTCATCGTCCGGTTCTTCCCATTGGCTACTGGCGGCGCGAACATCTGCAAGACAAAAGAGGAAAGACGCCTTAACTGACAAAAGTAAAGGGCGGCACACTTCACACGTCCTAGTTGCACTAATAGATGACATCACGCACACGTGTTGCTGAGTCCTCGTGTGTGTGTGTGTGTGTGTGTGTTCTTGCAGGTATTTCAGTTTTAGATGAGTCTAAAGTGGGATATTAACCATTTAAAAACGTGATTCCACCATTTTTAAACGTCTTCTAGCGAGACACTAAAACATGCGGATGAGAGTTAGATGATGTAAACATGCTTTATTCCAAAAGTACCCCCCCCCCCCTCCCCAACAAATGCACAGCATTATGAAACCGTTCAGACGTATTTCATATAAAGGTTGCTACGGGTTTTGTCACGGAGCCACTGTGGGCTTCACAGGAGGCTGTGATGTGGTCTAAACGTCAGTAACGTGGCCAAACTCTACTGTAGTAACCAAACCTTTTGCTAAGTAGGACACAAAAACACAATCTGCCACAACCGCACACGACCTCCCTCTCGATGTTCTTCTTTTTCCTCCCTCTCTCTCTCTCTCTTTTTCGATTTGGACGCCATCTTTGTTTTATTACGCCACATTCGGCTGCAGATATCTTAGACGTGTTTTAGCTTTTCTTTATTCCACGTCCATTCTAGCGTGAAATTCAGCCGGCTAATAAACAAACGGGACAGTTGTTTGTACAATTTGACAGTTTCTCACCCAATTATCAACGTCATATTCAAACTGAACATCTGCTGATAGAAATTGGCAGCTGATCAACTTGCGCTTTTTTCTGACACAAACCAAACCGCCTAATGAGAACCTTCCATACACACCCCCCCCACCCACAACGAGGGTTTTCCTTTCATGGGGAAAGGGTTCCTGTAAATGCCGATGGTGTGGCAGAGAATACGGATATTAACAAAGCAGCTGGCGGAATCATGCAAGTCGTTATAATGAAGCTGCACCAACCAAGTTCATGCACAACAACGGCTAAAGAAAAAGAAAAAGGCCACCAAAGGTAAAGCTGGTGGTACAATCAATGCAATGTCAACGCAAAGATTTAAACACGTCGGGTTTAATCAACTGTACTCGGTCTAAAGAACTCTCATGGGACATCAAGTGTGCTGACAAATTACCATCAGGAATCACCTGACGTGTCCCGTACGTGGTAATCATCCAGAGCTACTGGGCTTATTTAGGGGGAATAAGGAACGCGGCGCCGTTGGGCCTGTGAGGTGTTTACGTCGGCCGTGAAGCTCAAAAGGCTCCGCAAATAAATGGAACAGCGGTAAATAAAAGCAGAGCGGAAACACCTCGATGCACTTTGCAGGTGACGTCTGGAGGATTCCTCTGAAAGCAGCTTTGCCAAAATGTCTTCCTGAAGACTAAAAATACCAACAGAAAGAAACGCCGACGCCGTCCGCCCGGCCCCCGATTTCGCGTATAAACAATATTTCCACTTCAAATACTTTTAGGAGACGCGTATTTCTACAGTTTCCCCCGCAGTCGTTCCTGCACCGTTGGTTGGCGTTTTGCGGCGGGAACCAGCTCGTCGTCGTAGCGAGGATCCATCTCCGCCTCGCCTACATAATGGAGTAACCTACATATATTATCAAACCTGAATTCATTTTTACCAGTCACCCTGAGGTACGTCAGTGATTCACTTGCCATGCTTTGATGTAATCAGTACTACCTTTGCATGCCAAGAGTGATGGATGGAAATATCTTGGGCTGACAAAACCTATTGTTAAAAAAAAGAACAAAGATTGCAGATTTCGTTGCAGATTTTGAGAAGTTAAAATTTTTCCCCACTGTTTTTTTTTTCTCCCCCCCCCCCCTTGGTCTCCCCACTTTTGTCATTGAGACCTCCAACCCCCCCGCCGCCCCGCTCCCGGTCACACCCAGGCCTGTATCGCACTCTCTTTAGCCCTTTCTCCCAATGGCACCCACCTACCACTGCCACCCAGAAACACCCAGACTGCTCTCCCACTCTCTTACCGCACTGAAATCCAGGAGGTCGTTGAGTTCCTTGTCAGTTCCCACTGCAGCCATTCTTTGCTGCTGTTCGTTCATACCCTTCAGTCTCTAATAAACCCTATGAGAGAAATTTGCAGATACAGGATTTTAATGGCACTAGCAAGCACAAAGATAATTTACATTAATCTCTTAAATAAAAAATATTTAAAAAAACAGAGGGTGATGGTAATGAATGATTCAAACTACTCTGTCCTCGCTATATCACACCAGTGATGATTCATATTGGCAAATTAAAAGAATGCAGGGCCTAAGTCAGCCCCTTTTTCCTGAAGGGAAAAAAAACAAACAAAAATGTTTCGAAAAACACTCAAAATATTACCCGAAAATGTGCATCCATACATGAGGCAGAAGGATCTTGTGCATCCCAGAGGTGGAAATATGAAAAAGGAAACGAAGCGTCGCCTATCGAGTCTCAGCTGGCCAAAACACACAGCTCAGATTACTCGCTCGCTCACGACGGAGCGATGAGGGAAAACAGACCACATTAGGCCGCTTGACACGACACACTCCTAGCTGGGTCTACTGCCCCCCCCCCCCCCAAATCAAAGCAATAGAGACACTGCCACGAATACTTTGCCCTCAGTCAAATCCCAAGTAATGGGGGAGAGGGGGGGGGAAGAAATCCTTAATTTTACGCAACCTCGGCCCCGAACACAACCATATGTCGATCGTCGCTACATAAAAAGAGAGTGTAATACGTTTACAATTACAGACATAATTGGGACTATTGTTGGCCCAAGGAAATGGAGGCGAAAGGCAGCGCTAATGACTGTGTGCAAACACGTCATTAGCGAATTAGCATACGTCAACCCGGAGAGCGCCGCGTCAAGACGGCACAGCGAGCGCCGTTACCGGGGGGGCCGCGGATCCGGGAGCCTCGACCGGGAGGGGGGCGGGGTGGGGGGGGTAGTGGTGGCGAGGGGAGCGAGTGGAGGAATAGGGACGCTTGGACGCCAACAGGTGGTGTGCTTTTACAGCCTCTTTTGTTATACGGTATGTCAGTCAGATGTGGGGAATACAAACAAAAAGCAGGGTGGGGGGGGGGGGGGACATTTTTGAAAAAGGGAATGGGAGTTTGAGAATCTTAAACGAGGTGTGTTTGAGCGACGACCGAACGAGACAGAGACACACACACACACACAAAAGTATGGCATGTCATAAATTATTATGTGCATATATGAAAATGATTAAGTCACTGGAGGGGGGGGGGGGGGACACACTGCAGTCCAGCTCTAGAGAACTCAGGCAAGCAGAACTAATTTAACCTTGAGACAGGGAGGGAGGGAACACACACACACACACACACTAGAAACATGGCTGTCATTGCTTTTCCAAACTTTTGGATAAGATGGCCAAATCAAGGACGAAACCGCTCTCCCCCAAACACAGCACCGGAATAAACTTAACACCATTATTTAACCACCCAGCACACAGGGGGGGGGGGGGGGGGGGGCAGCCTAATGTGACCGAACGGCATCTTCAGCTACTGCTGGATCAATATCTGACGCGAGCAGATTAAAGGGTCTTTGTCGCCCCGACACAGAGGAGCGTGCACCTCCAGTGGAAACAACCAGACGACCGCAAACGCAAGAACGTCTCATTTCAATTCTTAACACGACTTACATGCACGTGTCTAGCTTTTCAAAATAATACGATTTTTAAGCTAATAATTATACCAATAAAAAAGGAAAATAAAGCACCCAGCTGTCGAACAAGCATGTAATAACGGTGGTCGGCAATATTAGAAAATATGAAATCACATTTCTGCGTTGTTTATTTGCATCTTCTGGGTGTTACGTCTCCTTTCACGTGTGACAGTAAAAGCAAAGTGACCAACTGTGACCTGGAAAACAACAAGGGACCCGCCTGCCGAACGAGAGAAGGAAATTCAAACTGTTGATTCAAATCCCCTACTACAACAACAACAACAACAAAAGGGGAAAACACCCGATGTGAACGTCAGAAGCGCATTATTATCGATTCATAACCAGGCTGGGTGAGAGAGTTCATAACAATGACAGTAAACATCCACCACATCCCAAAAGGGCCCAGCTTCCCCTGAAGACTGCTCCATTCACCTCCACGCGGGTTGACATCTCTCTCTCTCTCTCACACACACACACACACACACACACACACACACACACACACACACTCTACAATAATAACAATCATAATCACATTTAAACAGGGGCCTGACTCTTTGGGAATGAGAGCTCCAAAACTTCATGCAACAGACGAGTGAGTGGTCTCACGTCCAAAGGGTTCAGGTCGCTGCATCGGAGGGGAGTTCAGGGGTTGATGGGGGAGGAGGTGGTGTGGAGGGGGAGAGGGGGGGGGGGGGGCGAGGAATTTCCTGCCAAATATGCAATAAAATAATTTTTAAAAATAAAATAGCATAAAGGAATGTTTAAAGGGATACTGGTGGGGGTCGGGGATGGGAGGGGGGGGTGGAAAGTTTGTTTCTGGCTTGTGTGGAAAATACACGTACCCCTCTCCCCGCCCCCCAACACAAAGTTTAGCCAAAATGTTCAGCAACATTACACATTTGATAATCCCACATCCTGGCTGCAGGGCGCGCGGGGGGGGGTCGGTGGGAGCAGACGGAGGCTCGTTCGGCCGGACTCACACTTATCGATAGTGGGCTTTTCTTATTGCAGAACAAAGGAGTAATTTCCTTCTCCACCGTGGTCGATGCGGAGACCATCTCTCTCTCTCTCTCTCTCTCACACACACACACACGTAGCGAACCACCATAAACCCAGACGAAAAAAATAAATAAAAAACAACACGTACCTCCCCCCCCTTCTCAGCTTTAACCAACACATTCCCAAAAAAGAAAAAAAAAACTTTTCCAAAATTGCAGGCGTCAAAATAGGCTGTCAGTGAAACCCACCAAATTCATGCAACTTTCCCCCCGAAACGTACAAGTGAAAGAAGGTGTGTTTTTTTTTTTTACCTCTCCTCTCCAAGTGTCTGATATCCAACAGTAAAAAGAAAAGCGCAGACTCGCGACGAGAAAAACATAAAACTTCAAGAGAATTTCGACCTCAGTGCACGAAACGCATTGGAGCAGCGTAGATGTCTTTCCTTTTGTCCCGGTAAAAACCTGCTTTTCCCGCGGCGCCCACGTGTTTGCTTCAACGCTACGGGGCTCGAGCGCCAACAAAGCTATTATAGTAACTAATCTGGCGTCTTCCTCTTTTTTGTTGTTGTTACAACTGAGATGATTTCATTCTTCTCGTAGACATCTTCACTACCTCCGTCCACATTGTCAGACGCAACAACGTATCCCTCCGCGCAAAAGTGAGGGCCTCAATGCCAGCGGTGTCCGATTTCAAACGCCTTTGAGAGACGGGGTATTTTCACGGAGGGGCAGTAGGGAGGGGGGGGGGCGGGAATATAGCTTCGGCGTCTTCCGACGGACAAAACAACGGGGACGTCAAATGCCGACGCTCGGTTTTGGCGTGCCGTGTCTGCAGTTCCTTAAAACGCGAGAGCGCTACGAGCACTAGGTCCTCCGGCGGAAGGCTATCGTAAGAAAGTTACCTGCGATTACACAGCAGCAGCTTGGCGAGATGGCACGATAAATGAGAAAGAGCGCAGCCAATGGGGGAGCGCGCGTGCTTGATTGACAGCAGCAGCGGCCATCGAACGGCCGTAGATCCATTTTGAGCCCGCCTTGTTCTTGACGCTCACTTTCCCCGTGTGCACAGGGAAGCTGGCTGGAGGGGGGGGGGCTTCAACGTGCCCGCTGACATCATTTTATTACTTTGGTTGCTGTGTACTCTTTTCCTTTTTTTTAACAATACCAAAATAATATATTTTCAACCCATGGATTTACATTTTGTATTAACATTATAATAAATAAAAAAAATTCTAAACAAAATTACGATTTCAGTTGTTGACGGATTTCAAGATTTAAAGCACGCTAAATAAAATACATTTTTTTAATATAATATATACTGGATATTGTTATGTATATTCATTATATGAATACATCATTTTGTAATTTATTTTATAGACTCATATGAAAGATAGCTACTCAGAATTACTTCAGGATCACATATTTTATGTTAAAATTATCAACGTATAACATCATTATTATTCTTTTTATGTACGATCTAAAATTATTTTTAACCCTTCTGAATGTACTTGAAAATTCTCAACTGCTTTTATAAGCATGATTTCCACCGGTTTTTTTTTTTAATTACTAAATTTAATTGTTTTTGTCTACAAATTGTTAGAGACATGCCCGTTATAATTTACCAGAAACCATGGAGATGTTTTTTTTTCCATTGCTTGTTTTAACAGCCAACAGTCCAAACCCTCAAGTATTGCGTTTTAAAAAATGACCAACAAAAGCATAATCCTCACAATTAAGAAGCAAGGACAATAAGATATTGGGTATTTCAGCTTTAAAACCGACTAAAACAGTTGCTGATTTTCTATCCGTCGATTAATACACCAATTGTATCTGCTCTAATCTCCAAGTAGCGAGTGTTTTTGTGAATGGCCTGTCAAACATAAGACCAACGCAGCCCTAGTAACTGCCTGTTCCAGAGCCGAGTGGAGGGAGAGCTCAGAGTATAGGATCACAGAGAGGAGGGTGGGGGGGTAGTTCAGAGAAAACAGTTCAAACAGGGAGGGCAACGCATATGTGTCTACAATGTTTAACGTGCCGCTTTTACATGATAACAACACCAAGAGATGCATATCTGAACTGAACCGCCCGCTCGGTCACCATGGCGATAAAGAACTAAGCAAAAGGTCTTCACGGCCCTAAAGGGTTTTCTACCTTTATTCAACATGCACACAGCATCCCTCACACAGAAACAGTGTCTAGGTGTCAGACAGCTGTTGTTTATAACCTGCGGGGCTCGGGGGGGGGGGGGGGGGGGGGGGGGGGGGGGGCGTTAATATAACCCTGATTTGTTTCTTGTCTTCAACCTCTTAACATTATAAAATAGCGTGTATATGAATCCGGAACACGGCCGTCACCGTGGACCACTACAAAGGCCACGCTGACTCACGCATCTTTTGAGTCACTGTACGAGCGGGATGCCCACGTCTCGGGTGGGAGCTGTCATCTGGCAGAATGAAGACATGGCACATGCATATTCTACATAGCTGCCTGGTGGTATCATGCCTCAAAATGTCTGTTTGCACAGAGGTCACCAATTGGGCGGGGAGGTTGGGGGGGGGGGGGGGGGCGGGGGGGGGCTGTCAATAGGACCTATAGGTAAATAATCCATTGGGTGTCCCCCGGGTGGAGGAAAAGCCTCGGCACAGAACATTAATTAGTCGCGTGCACCGTCTTAGGAATGTGATGGGGTTGCTGCACGGAACAAAACGCACATATGGGCCGTAAATACCTCCACAAACATACCACGCATACATTCACGTTTGGTCACACACACGCGTGCGGAAACACACGCTCACACAAAAGAAAAAATCACAAGACAGCCGAAGCATCAGAAAATAATCACAGCTGGGAAAGAAAGAGCATCTTGAGTTATTTATCGAACACCTATTTGGAATCCTTTCATTGAGGAATGAATTAATCAAACGATTAGATTTGAACAGATGGAAACATCTGTTTGGGGAAATGGATTTTTAGTGCAGGCACAGAAAATCTCTCATATTCTGTCTTTTTTTTTTTCCAGTAGACGTTAGGCCTTGAGTAAGAATAGTGCTGTTGTCAGTATTAGCAATGAGGCTTGTAAGCCCTCCAAGTAGTTTGTAGTAACAGCTGGGTCTGACATGGAGAGCATGTACAAGGGCAGCCAGGCTGAAGAGAGGGAGGGGGCTGTAGGAAAAGAGGTAAAAAAACATGTATGTTGTGGGGATCCTTGCCTTAATGAACAATGAGTGCACCTCTTTAAAAATATATTGACATCAGGCCTATAATCTTTTTTCTTTACAGATTAATTAGGGTGGTACCACTTTGGAGCCGAGGGGCAATAGCTGGTTTAATATGTTATTCCTGATATCGAGCGATGCACTTTTACATTCAGCTGTTACAAAGTAATTAGCGTAGCCTGGAATATATAAACAATACAACGTAGCTGTGCGCTATTTTGTGCGTTTCACAATTAACACAGGCATAAAAGAGGAGATAACCACCTCTAAATGTTCAATTTTTATGCTAAAATCACGTTTCATTATCCACCGTAACAATGGTTAATCCACTGCATGGCAACCTAAAAGCTAACAGCATCATTAGGAACAAACAGAAAACACAAACACGTCATCTGTAATCTCTGAATACGTTCACGGCACAATGGACAGTTAGAGGCAGAATGGGGATGCTGTCCCACATGCCCTCGATGATTCCTTCCAGCCATTCCCAGCCTCACATGTGTAATTAAAAACAGATGCACATGGAAAATTAGCATATGTTTGGCACATTGGTGCTAAGCGGTCATATATCTGTGCATATTAATGATCTATGCGTAAATATTTTTGCGTTACATGGACTCACAAAAGAAATAATACCACGTCCTCAACCCCCCACCCCCCCTTTGTATTTTTTTTAAAATCAATAAATAAGATTCAAGCTGCTTTGTCATCCAATCAAAACGCAACGTAGACTCTGCAACGTTTCCAGCTACCGGCGTCGACACTCCCGCGCGCTCTCCACCTTTAACCCTCATTGCCATCCGGCCCAGTTCATAAACGCGAGCCCAGCCACATCACACGCACACACGCACACACACACACACACACAGACCACGATGAACACACAGCGCAGGCAGCAGCATAACGCACACAGAGCTCGGTGGCGAGGCAAGCTGCTCACCTCGCTCCACACTGAGCCCCTCGCAGCCTGTAACAGTAGAGGCTTAGGTCTGGGTGGGGGAAGGGCAGAGGTGCACAGGTTTCTGATCAGACAAGAAGAAAAAAAACTAGGCCGAGGACCAACAAACCCCCCCCCCCCCTCTGCCCCGAACCGCCTCCCACACGCGACAACTTTGCCTTCAAGGGCCGCGACAATCGCTGTCGAGGTCGCCGTTAAATGGCGAAAGCGACAGAGTGAGCGTGTGGGTTTCTTTTTTCTTCTTCTTCCTCTTCTTCTTTTTTTTTTTCAGCCACAACATGTGTATCTAGAGGCATAACAGCTTCTCATAGCCGGGCTATGATTCATGCTTCCTTGCCCCCCTTTTTGGAGGCCGTCCTCCAATGGGAGCCGGAGGCTGGGGGCAGGAGCGGATAGATTGATAGCGTTGGCCGAGCGCCCGTGCTCCGAGTCTATCTGTGCTGAAGGGGAGGAGACGCGGGGAATCTATCTGTTGTGCTCTCTGTGCTCACGATAAACTGACCCCCCCCCCCCCCTCTCCTCCTACCCCCCTCCCTCCTCCCTCCTCTATCACAGCTAAAGAAACTTCCGTCATGTTGGACCACAATAAAAGGAATAAGAAAAGAACGCGTGGAGTGATTCGAGCAGGGCAGCGGGCCGCAAGGTTGTGCTACACCCCCCACCTCCACCCCCTCCACCTCTCTCAACCACAGTTGGAGAAGAGGAAAGCGGTTGTTTTGGAACAAGTGAGGACAGCATTATCGTCTTGAATTGGAACACGTATTGAAAACAGCCAAACTCGAAGGGACACAATGAGCCCAGATCTCACTTCATCACCGACGGGACCGTCGCCAGCAGAACAAGCACAATGTCTCCCTCTCTCTCTCTCTCTCTCTCTCATCCCCGAAACTGTAATTCCCACAGAGCCCCACAGTGAGAAAGAAAATGAGTTTGAGGGATTGTTCCCGACGTTAATCCTCCCAAACACTACAGTTTCCAGGCTGGATCCAATACAGACAGAGAGACACACGACACAAACCAAACAATCTATTTACCAAAGGAAAAATTGAATCAACAATCCTTTTGACTTCTGTCTGTTCTCAGTTGACAATCCCTCCCCTGCCCTCCCCTTCCTTCTTTTCTTCCTCTTTTATGGGACCCTCCCTGCCATCTTGGATTCCCATTACTGGGCGTTTGTGTGATTGCCCTCTTGTTCTGCCACCTACGCTGCAGGTAACAGCCAACGGAACACCGGCTTCCTGTTTACAAAGCCCCCGTACGGCGAAGGGAAAGAGCAAATAGGAGGCTGAGCTGGTCGTTAAGCCCTGTCTCTTTGTGTGTGTGTGTGTGTGTGTGTGTGTGTGTGTGTGTGTGTGTGTGTGTGTGTGTATGTGTGTGTGTGTGTGCGTGCGTGTGTGTCGAGGGGTGAAGAACGCGAAGCTGATGGAGGAACAGAGACGCAGAAAGTGGCACGAGCAGAGAGAGAAAGTGCAAAACAAGAGGGAAGAAAAAAATAATATCCCCACCACAAGCTGGGAATAATACAGTGTTCGTATGTATGACGGGGGTCATGCGCAAAAAGTCACATGATAACAATCGGATCAGAAGCAGAAATGACTCTAAATCAATTGAGGTAGGCATGTGAGGGCTGCCCAGGACAGGAGGGGGGGGGGGGAGTGAAAGGGAGATAGACGGGAGGCCGTGTGGGGGAGGGAAGCAGAGATTGTTGGTGTCGTGGGAGCACTGCAACAACAATAACAGCAGTGTGTGTGTGTGTGTCTGTGTGATAGAGTGAATGAGTTAGAGTGGATGTGTTGTGGCTCAGGAAAGTGATGAAATGACATCTCCTTTACTTCGGCGCACAGCTGCTATTGCAGCAAATAACACACGGTCGAGATATCTGACCTTCTATTTTCTTTTGTAGCCGGCGGTCAGAAGTGTCAGCCCGCCTGTCATGTTCACCTCTAATTAGCTCCGTCCACACAATGACTCCACTGTGTCCATCGCAAACAGACACCCCCCCCCCCCCCCCCACGCCGTCGATGTGATCTGCATCGGACTACTTCTTTTCACCGCTGAGACGCAGATGAAACAAAATAAATCTCCTGACTTCCTGATTCGAATGTGGCTGTTCGTTATGCATGCATGTGCCCCCCCCCCCTCTCACCCCGCCCCGAATGCTCTCGGCCTGCGTGCACATCACATCGGCTATGAAAACTTATGGATATACGACAACATTTTTCGGGTGGAGGCTTCTTCTTTTTGGTTGTTTTCTCTTTTTCTTTCATCTCTCTTCGTCCTCCCCTCCCCCCTTTCTTTGCAGATTAGAATTCATTAGCAATCAAAGAGCCTCCAGAGAGCTCCAGCTCTTAATTACCTACTCATTTGCATTTTTGCATATTAATGACTGCAGGGTTTGGGTAGTTTTTTTTTTTTTTTTTGCCGCAGTGGTTTAAAGGCACCTCAGTCCTCTGTTCTCCGGGGAGGAGAGGAGATGGCCAGAGGCAAAGCTCCGAGCCTGTCCAACCCCCCCCTCCCCACCTTCTATCCTCCCCGATGCGAGCCGGCCGGGGGCGTCTGGGACCGCTGGGGGGGGGGACTACAGGGGCGCACAGGTTAAAGGTCAATGTCCCTGATCAACATAAGAAAGAACACATGTCTGCGGTGCGGCCTAATTATTGTCATATTGAGCAGTTTAAACACCTGATGTGAACAAAATACGCCCTCAGAGAAACTGGAAACCAACACTGCAGCGACGCTCACGTGGCTTTTTATTGAGGACGGCAGCTAGTTTGGATGAAACTCATGTCCCACGGTGTGCAGAGGCAGGGGCATTTTATATCCCTGGAGAAAGGTGTGTACCGCTGAAAATGAGGCTAGTGTGTGTGTGTGTGTGTGTCGCTGTTTCCTTCACATTACCGTCTCCGAGTGCTCATTGTGAGGACAGCGAGGAGCCTTAACGACGACGCTGTGCGTGCTCGCGTGCACCCGGCGGGTGGGATTATAAAGCCGCACCTTTGCGCAGAAGCGTGTAGGCAAACATGTCAACAGAAACATTTGCAGGCACTCGGGCGCACAACATGCTCGCACATTCACATGCACACAACCGGGGGAATAATACCACCAGAGACAGCAGACAACAGCTCCCGGGCATCTCGCAGACCCCCCCCCCCCCCAAGAGCTGCTGTTCTTCTTATCCAATATGTTTTGACTGCAACAATGATGTCTGAGCATGGAAAATAACGCCCTATTCCACTGGTTTAGATACCTTACAAAAACATAACAATTAATGACTTGGAGCCTCGGGCCGTCTGGCCGTCAGGTTCAACGCGAGCGAATGCAACGATTGTCTATTGTATCACCGGGATGTGGATTTGGATCATCAGATGTTAAAAAAAACAGGGTTTGTTTGAATAAAAAAGGCAAACTGCCTCATGCGAGTCAAATGTACGAACATATTTAAACGCCTCGACGCTGCACACGAGATGCAGACGTGTCTCATGGCGCGTCCCAGAAAACAAACTGCTCCCATAGTGGGCTTAAGTCGACTTAAGTGCTATTAGTGGAGCATTATAAAATGTGTGTGTGTGTGTGTGTGTCTGTGCGTGTAGGGCCCGAGGACTGCAGCAATGTGTGGGCTGTCGGGGTGGGGTTAATGAGCTGCTCCGTGACCTCTGTCACCCCACCGGATCGCCTCAGGGAGACAGACCGAGACAAACAGGAAGACGGGGGTGACACTGGACTTCTGGGACGAGTCTCATTTAAAAAAAAACTAAAAAAACCTACTACCGGCGGCCTAATAGACAGAAACGCGTCCTCAGACGAGGCCTCGCACCGTGTCTGAACCAACGGGTCCACGTCCGGATGAGACGCGAACACGAGCGTGACGGAGGGCATGAAAGCCAAAGACAGAAGCAGACACACGACGGCGACGCGCGGCCGCTCTGTGAGGGTCGCTGCGTGATAACAGCGGTAATAGCGCCACCTCGTGGCCGGCGGGGGAACTGAGCGGTTGCATTACGCACAACGCTGTAGCATAAACACACGTTCTTTGATGGAATCCCACACAGCGGACTGCTTTGGTACAATACGGTAACGGGCTGTTATTGTAACAAATACATGTATTTTCTTCGGTGCGTTCAAAAAAGTGACAGTTAATACACGCAATCTTTTTTGCAACCATTGTTTTTAATAGAAAGATTTTATATTCTTTAAACCAGACAACCAGATGCCAGACATTTTTGGATATATTAAAAAAACAAAACAAGAAAACAAAAAGAACAGAACAAAAAACAATGACACAAAATGGAATTATATGGTTTAGACTGTGGATTTAGTGGTCTCATATACAATACAATTTATTTTCATCGCCAAAAAGTGCAAATTCTTCTCCAAAAAACTAACACCTATACCCCCCCGTCCTGCAGCTTCCAATAGAAACAGCGAAGAAAAATAAGGAAAATAAACTTTTTGAGAAGAGAAATGGGTATTCAGAAAGGGAAACCCATGCTTCATCACATGGCTGCGTGTTAAAGGTCCGATGGCGTCGCCGCGTTCCATCCAGCCCCTCCGGTGGGATTCACAAGAGAAAGGTGGCAGATGTGCAACTGGGAAGAAAGCGTTAACACACAGAGAGAAGTGGAGTGACGGGGTTTCTTCTTCTGCCTTAATGCGACTGTGTGCGTTTACATCAAAGTCCGGGTTGGAGAACTGGGACAGATTTCAAATGTATATTAGGGAAAAAAAAAAAAAAAACTCCATAAAGGATTATCATGATAATCACTGCGGCAAACAAATCTGTTATAGACACCGGAATATTCCTTTCTCTCCCAAAGTCAAAGCATCCAATTATGGATCTACCGAAGGTTTATAATAATCATTTATTATTATTCTACAATCTTGATTTGACAGAGATGTTGAGCCCAAGAACAAAAATAAATTCTGTAATGATTTGCAAAAGTGCATGATGGTCGTTTGGCCATTTTGTCTGTCTTTCATAAATCATTGAAGCGCTATTTGGATACCAGATCCAGCCTTTAACTACAAACAGGGCGTTATTGCAGACAGAGAGGATCCTGCAGTGGATACAACATTCAGCGCAGCGAGCCTTCCCAGAAAGCTTTGCAACCGTTATACAGGTTCTGTTTAAGGAAAGGGAGTCTCCCAAACTGTAAGCAGAGAGCCGGCGGGGGGGGGGGTCTGTTCAGCGGGGCTATGCAACGAGCTGCATATAACCGGTGTGGTGAGATGTGTTTATGTCCAGATGAGGGGCAACCACCTTAAGACCAGTTACCAAATATTCAAGTTCTTTTCTTTTACCCCCCTCCCTTCGGATTTAAATAATGATCTGCACTGAGAGAACCAAAAAGAAACAACATGGAACAACAAAAATAAAAGCACACAATATTTCGGATGGCCTTTTCGCAAAGTGCTCTTGGTTACAATCGCAGAAGCTGAAATAAAAGCTGTCGGCCAGCGGTCTGCCGGGGGGGGGGAGGGGGTCTGCCGACATGCCTGTCCGTCACGCCGCGCGAAGGGATCGTCCAGCTCGCCTCAAACAGCCTGCCGTCTGCATCCTGAACACCGAACTCCGAAGCGGGAATCACAGTATGAAGTTGTGGAATGTATCCTGGAAGAGTTTAGGCGACTCAACGCGCACGTCAACAGACCCCCCCCCCCCTCGCCCCTCCTCCCCCCCGCCCACTGAGGGTGTGTGATCTTTGATCAAAAGGCCAGAGACGTAGACTCTTGAGTGCGATGGGACACGAGAGCAAGAGAACACAACACCCCCCCACCCCCCCCTCTCGATCCATGGTTTTTCCCAACACCATCCCCTTTCAAAAATGTTACTCTGACTAATAAGACTGGATCTCCAGTGGCTTCCTTCCCTCCCAACAAACAATTGGCTGGATCAATATCAGATGGAGGACTGGGCTTCACGACGAGGAAACTGTTGGTTGGAGCCGTTATGTCAAATGTTGGTATTGGAACGCGGAGGAGTAACTCGGAGCGAGTGTTTTCCACCCGGGTCGTACTCACACGGAGACAAAAGAGGTCAGCGGCCTTCTCGTAGTTGCCGTTGCCCGATGTGACCCGCGGTGACCCCCTTTGTAGTTTCACTTCTCATTTTGTGGCCGTGCCGCTTCCTGCCGGCTGAGAGGACCAACGCTGAACTATGACTCCGCCGAGCGTCGTCCATCCCTGAACATCCAGCTTTCCCTTACCACCCGTACATGTAGATCCCCCCCCCCCCCCCGCACGCCGGCCCCTTTGCCTGAGAGGGACTCAGGCAGTGCAAACTGCCGGCCCCTTTCCGAAGGACCCGGAGCGCCACAGCCTGCACACGGGTACAAGAACGCGGTTCAGGTGTGCGTGGGGGAAAACGACGAGGCCGAAGCAAACAGTCTGCCGCCAGCAATCTCCACATTAACAGACCCCCCCCTCCCCCAACCCGGCCTCCTTCGCTTGATTATTTACAGTTACAATTGTTATCATAGTTGTTGGTCCTTGTTGTTTTATGGCCTTCTCAGATAGATTCACCAAAAATCTTTGATAACAGCATTGGAAAGAAAAACAAAAACAGAAAACATATCAAGGTCAATTTGGAAAAAAAACACAAACAAAAACCTTGCAGTGAGAGCGTGTGGTCGGGGTCAGAGTGACCTTGGTCTGGGGCTGAGGCTGAGGACACACCGGTGGACGCGCAGAGAGACAAAGCGCCGAAGAAGTGGCTGATACAGACACATTATTATTCGTTCATTCAAGTATAGCGTTAACGGCAGAATTAGGTTTAAGATTTGATACACGTAGCAAGCCAATCCCCTCTTATCATTTGTTTTTAAAAATACGGAAAGAAAAAGTGTTCATGGTGAAACGAACAAAATAAAAGTTGGGAGTTTTGTCAGTTGCTGCCCACGGAAGGCAAAGCGAGGCCCTTGAAGTTAGTGTCGTCCACCTGGTGGGAGGGAGCCTCAGCCCCACACCGCACAATACCGCTGTCTGGAAACATTTAAAAAAGAAACAAGAAACAAGCTTAGTGCTGCTCAGACAAGGCCACAAAATCCCGGTCGGCTTCAACTAGAGAACATTTCATTTCAGATAAACCTTTTTCAGAAAGTAAACAAGAATCCATCCAGCTCGGCAATGATTAAAATAACAGTGTTCAACAATACCAACAGTTTGCATTATCATTTCATTTCAATATTCAACATTAGCTGACTTAATATGAGACAGACGCTGATAGAATCCCATCATCACCATCATCTGGAATTTAAAAAGAACTGGATCTAGTTTCTCTGGCACCTGCACACATTTGCACCTCTGCCATCAAAACAGCACAAAATTGGATGTTTCACCAGGTTCTGGAGAGGCTTTGCTGCTCTGTAAGTGCCTAAATGTTGTACATTTGGAATATTTCTCTACAAGAAGCGCAAATACAATTTGCCGTGTTTAAAAGCTTCCTCTTTTCAAGAGCCGATTAATGTGAGATTGGTAGCTTAAAATGTCCAATGACTTCAACGCGAGCCATTTCTTCCCCTTTGGTATTTGTTGCTGTTGGACGTCCGTATATTTCTTAACATACTGTACACGATTACATCTACGGAGGAGTTGGATGGACTCTTTTCGAGACCGTTGAGTATTAACCACACTGCTCTGTGCTCATGGAAACTCGCGGGCCTTTCTGAGGTCTCCTGCCCTTCTCCCATAAGCAGGACGAGGACATTTAACATTAGTGCAAACTTTTGCTCTCTCAGCTAAAGCACCATTTCCAGTGCTATCAGGCTTTATATCCATAACCCCACCCAAGCACCCATTTCCCCCACCCACCTGGCACAGCAACCCGAAACCATGAACCCCAACCCACACACACACGCACACACACACACACACACGCACGCACACGGCCAAGTGAGATTGTAAGAAAAAACCTGTAGCACAACACGTTATTTTAAGAAGGAAAAAAAAAGAAACAAGTATAGACGGACAGAAAAAAAACATCCTTAGACCTCTGATTCTATCGTCCACAAGGATACAAAGAGCGAGAGGAAGCAAACGCTAGTTAATGTCTGTATGATTTAACACACACGCCTGCATATGTATACAAGAGGAGGGCATTTTGTGTGTGGCTTAGTCAGGTAGGTCCAGTCTGGATAAATTACAGACACACTATCAACATCTCAACAGTCGACTAAGAACGAGGGCGACGAGCTTTGGTTAATCAACAAACAACGCAAAAGACTGAAGAGGGAAATATGGAGGTCCAGAGAAAGCTTAAGTTGGCAGGTGTCCCCTTCCGCCACGTCAAGACAGAGCTGCTTTAAGCATGAAGATGACATTGGTCTGCATGTGAGCGTCAAACGGCGCATTAAGAAAACGGCAACTTTATCTCTACAGAGGAGCCGAAACAGAAACTAGTGCCCACCAAAGGCCCACCGGGGTAAACAGACAGGGAGCCGGCAAGCAAACAAGCGGCTGTCCAATGAGCTCCTCTGCACCATGGTATTCTTCCTGCCCGCGTGCTGCCGCGGTTCCTGGGAGAAGACGAGGAGTCACGAGAGTAGCTGGTGAACAGATGGGGCCCGACACAAAGCGTGTTTATCCGAGACCCTCCAGCCAGCAACGCAAGCACACGCACGCACCGCGTCCACGTTTGCATGGGAATCTCCCCCCGCCGTCCCTTTGGGAGACGTTCGCAACGTTCTAGTTTCTCATATGGGTTTTTGTTTTTGGCAGCTTGTTGTGAAAACCAGCGGAGGAGCTGCAGCTCGCCACCGCGGGCGGACTGGTCTCAAACTGGTGGCTTGTTTCGAAGCACCCGTTTCGTTGACAAAAGTGCATTCATAACCTGGCTCCTTCCAATTAAGATGCAGAGGGCCGATAGTGGGACCACGGGCCTACAGCAAATATTACAGGGAGGGGGGGGGGGGGGGGGGTTTAAATCCCACACATGTTTCCTCGACTTAATGCGTGCTTGTTTGGAAAACAACATCGGATTTGGAGCACAATAACACAACTTTGACAGACTCCTCTCCCAGGATACCCCCATGTGTGTGTGTGTGTGTGTGAGAGAGACACAGAGAAAGTGCGTTGGGGCTGGCAGCTCAGGGTGCATGTTTGCAAACAGGCCGCGGCTGACTCACACAGTGATGATGTGGCCAGAGCGACCCTGGCTGCCACGCACACACGTGTACACACACACACACACACTAAACTGCCAGCACCAGGCGTCCGACCCACAGTAACACCAGGCTCTAATATAATAATATCCCCTCCAGGCGAGTTCGGGGGCATTAGAGGACTACAGAGGGAGAGAAAAGGCCTGATTTGATCCCCTCCTGCCTGGAAACGTGGCTGAGCTGGGGGAGATTATTTTTTTGGAATGCAACAGACATTGTGAGATCCCCCTCCCCTCGCTCTTCTCTCCCCTGGTTCCCCTCCCCCATCAACCAGCTGCAGCTGCGCTCCCATTTGGCCTCCCCACTTGGACAGGTATTTATTGCTCTCTTCATCGTACAGGTTGCCTCGCGGTTGTGTGGTCCCTCGGGGGGGAAAAAAAGATTGGAATAAGCGCGATGCATAAGCCCTCCTCTCAATACCTCAACAGCAGCCCCCTTCCTTTAAATATACCTCTATCTCTCGCTCGGTCGCTCTGTTGGATATCTTTAGTAAAGCTGTGCAAACATAGAAGAAAAAAAAACAAAAAAAAAAAGGTGCTCATCTATCTCTTCGTCGTACTCTTTGTCGCTCTCCCTGCCATTCCTTTAACCTGCGGTTGGTTAAATGCTACCCGCGCCTTGTCACACAAGGACCGAATCCGAAAAAAAAAAAAGAACTGCACAAAGTTAAGCACATTCATTCACTCGACCTCCTCCTCCTTTGGGTAGGAACTATACAAGTTAAGTGTTAAGTTTAGGACCGATGGGTAACTCCATGTGTTTTGTTTTTCTTCCCCCTCTCATCGAACACTCATACAGGGTTTTTTTTTGTGTTTTTTTCGCTCACGTTTCACTGTGAGAAATATGACATCAAGCCAAAGAGGAAAAAAACCCGATTGCTAAGTACACCTCAGCATTGAGAGGGAACGAATGTCATATCACCACCCGCTGTATATACATGTATACAATTATAAAGTGTCAAGTACCCGAAGCAGTCAACATAGAGGAACAAAGACAAAAAGATTAAAGGATAATCAAAAAAGGGAAAACAAAAAAGCTGAAATTAGCAGGGTTGTGGGGGTTAAGAGGCAACGTAGTCAAGCCAACAGGTACATTGACGATGGTAGTGCTTTAAAAACACAAACCCTCCGACCCCCATATTCCCGAGTCCTGCGTTTGAAGAGCCCCCATAAATTGGATTTGACTCGACGTGGATTTGTTTCTCAATAAGACAGAACCATAGATGCATTTTATAGAGTAAGTAACACTTCAATCAAACCCCTGTCTGATTCTTTCTGGAACATTTAGAGAGAAAAAACTGTTGCATCAAAATTGCGGTGAGCTTTCCTTGCATATGCCATATTGTGGCAATGTTGTTTCTATGGTAACTGTACATTTCAGACCTGCAAAAGAATAGAAAAAGAGTAGTTTTCACTGGGAGGATTTGTCCTCGCTTCACCCGTACAGCAGCCACAAGGTGCTCGATAGACACTTTGCTTAGAAGCTTGAAGGCTGTGAGGACAAAACCAACTGCATAGTTGCTCCGCACTTCTTTGTATCCATCATACATTTGCCTAAGCACAGTTGCCAATGTATAAAACCCCTACTGTTATAAAGAAAGAAATGGCCCAGAAAGTGGACGTCATGGGTACATGATTTGAAGCGTTCTTTGCTCTTTAACAGATAAATCGACTCAAGTGCTTAAAAGTCTACTCCATTTCCTAAACAAGAAGGAAAAAGCAATACAAAGATTAGATTTTTTGTGACACCCTGATTTGGTTCAAAGAGGAATAGTTAGTTGTTGTTTTGCTTTTTTTAAAGTTTGCCTTTATGTGTTTTTTCTCCCCTCCGTTCACTGGCCCGTCTCACAGGCCGTGCAGAGTGACAATGGTGTCCAGCAGTGTGTCCTTGTCGTCCCGCCGCCGCCTCAGGGACCGGCCTCCCCCGCAAACTCCTGCAGCCGAGGACTGTGCGCGCGGGCTCCGGCAGGCCCCTCCACCTCCGGCGTCGAGGACGCCCCCGAGCGCCGCCGTCCCCTGATGGAGCGAGGCCCGGGGCCCGAGTCGGGGCCGGGGCCCAGCAGGCCCAGGGGGGCGTCGAGGAGCCCCTGCTCCCGCACCCGAGGCTTTCGGCCCCGGCGGGACGGGATGCCGTTGCAGCCGTCCTTCTTGAGGTGGCGGTGCAGGTGATCCGAGCGCACAAAAGTCTTGAAGCAGCTTGAGCACTGGTAGGGGCGCAGGCCCGTGTGCACGCGCATGTGGTTCTTCAGGTCGTAGTTGTGAGCAAAGGCGGCGCCACATTGCGTACAAAGGTAAGGCTTCTCTCCTGTATGCTTCCGCATGTGAACCTTGAGCTTGTCCTGTCTGGAAGAAAGAAAAATAAACTCAACCGCAGAGCGAGACAGAATGCACAGACAAAAGAATAAAAATAAAATAAAGAGTGTGAAAATACACCCATCTGAATACACTAATTCAGTTTTTTATCTTTCCTGCTACTAATAAAGCTACGGAACATAATGTGCAATTAACTTGAAACACATTATTCCTCACATGTACAGTGGTCAGCTTAATATGCTTTATTTCCTATTAAACAGCCATCGTTTGGATCTCTTCCAATGAGATTATTCCGTGAGGGCAGCCAGGCCAGCTGAGGAGAAGCAATAAACTTCACATCTTTATCTGTGTAACTGCACACAAGAGCGCAACTGTGAGCCGAACTCTGACTCCAACTTCCTCTCATGACATCCTGGAGCGCTTTTTTACTTTGCGACGGTACGATCGCCGCCCACTAAACTTTATCAGGCTGCCTTAGCCTTCAGCTGACTCTTGTCCCTCCCCCTTGAGCCCTCACTATCTCTCCAGCTCTTAATCGTCTGACACTTCTGCACTCGGGGCAGAGGGCTCCTAAACAAACAGGCATGACACACATACACGCGCACACACACAACCACCACCATTTAAGTGGATTAGTTGTCATACAAGCAACAAATAAACCTGCAGCAACCCTATCGATGCGCCGAATATAAAATATAATATGTAGCGAGGAGAAACACACAGGCCAAAGCCGTGGGAAACAGAATGGCACACTGACAGAGGTGAATTATTTAAAGGACAGGAGTGATTTATTACAGAGCGAGGCACACTCTTAACCCCGATCAAACAGGATTAAGATTACAATACCCCTCCTCTCTGCCGGTCAAATTCAGCTGGAAGGCAAATTCAGATTGGTCTTCTCTACCTGCCGGGAACAGGCAGGGGATCTGGGTGTTTCTAGACTGCTGCATCCATTTCCAGCACAAGTCCACTGATTAATTAATTAAAGGGATGATTCAAGGAAAAGGAAGTGCTCTGAAATACAGGGAAGCCATGCGCAGTCCAGTCCACAGCTGTGGTCACATTTAACTAGAGTGACCAATGGCAGATTTCATTAGAGAGGTAAAGGAGTGAGAGAGGAGAGTGGTGCTGGTGGTGCAACTGCCCTGCCGTGGGCAATAATCAACATAACCAGAGATCAAAAGTTCAAATTATTGCTTTGGAGCAGAGCGAGTACCATCCAGGACCTGTAATGCCCCTCTGTATCAGAACACAGCGCTTTATAGCAGCCCTCCACTAGATAACGCAACCACGGCACGGCCTTCTTTTATAGGACCCTATGCTAAGATTCCGGGACTTTGCACAATAAAAATAGACCTTTATAACCGTTATAATCAGACCCCCCCTCTCTTACACATTATGGTTACAACGTGACATTGGAAATAACCCGGTTAGGGGATACTCAGTCCACCACCACGGTAAACATGTAGATTGACAAACTGGGATGCCTCCTTAATGCACAGCTAAGTTGGTTAGTGCTAATGCTCCTGGCGGTGGGCTTTCCCTCTGCTGGGCGATTTGTCCGCAGTGCCAAGTCCGAGACTATGAGTACATGTGACATGGGGGAGTCGCTTACCACGTAATTGGGCTTACCTGGTGAAGCGCACTTTGCAGATGGCGCATTCATACGGTTTCTCTCCCGTGTGCGTTCGGATGTGGCGGGGTAGCTTGCCTGCTCCTTGAATGACCTTGGAGCATATGGGGCATTTCTGGGAGGCCTTAGAGCGCATCTTCCTCTCGCCCCCACTGCCGCCTCCACCTCCTCCTCCTCCTCCTCCTCCGACCCCGCTGCCTCTCTCTCCCACTCCCCCCTCTCCTCCTCCTCCTCCTCCTCCTCCTCCGTCTGGGCCTGTTCTGCCTCGTGATGGCCAAAGCACTCCCTGTGTCTCAGCTGCAGAAGCTGGATCCTCATGCTGAGTGCTGTTAAAATAATTCAAGTAAAATTCCATGTCGGGGTCGTCCCCGTCTCCCTGTTCCTCCCCGGTCGACGCACGTTCTTTCTGCCTCTCGATGGAGTCCATCATCTGCTGCAAGAGTGCACTGGCAGAACCCCTGTCCCTCGCCTCCCTACTCCCATCCTCTGCCTCGGGGGCGAGGAAGAAGTGGCCGTTCTGGGACGCAGGGTAGAAAGATGATCCCAGACCCGCCCCGTTTCCCTGCCCCGCCTCCCCGTCCTCGTCGTCCTCATCGTCCTCGTCCTCTTCCTCCTGTGTTTGGGCCTGGGCCTGGGCCAAGGCGAGGGCCAGGGGGGAGTAGTACTCACCGGGGCCGACCGGAGCCCCGTTGCTGGGGATCCCGCCATTACCGTGGTTAAAGTGCAGATGTGTGGCCAGGTCCCTGAGCTCTGGCGTGCTGCAGCTGCTGCTCCAGTGAGCCCCTTTCTGGAAGTACTCCAGGTACTCCCGGGCCCTGACCCGGTTGCCCTGCTCCCTGCCTACTCTGCCCTTGCCCTCCTCATCTTCATCTTCGTCTCGTCGCTCAATGCCCGCCTAGAGAAACGTGACGGAGGAACAAAGAGAGGGAGTTCAGGAGACATTTAAACTCAGGGAAAGTTTGGAAAAAAACAAAACAAAAACAGAGACAGAAATAAAGAAGTTCAGTTGAAAAGAAAAAATATATGATTAAAAAAAACTAACTTTCTATAAAGCTCATTGGCATAAGCTGATCCCTATCTGGGTTTCCTGGGTGCCCACCCAGCGGTTTATAATACCCATGAGGACATGCATGTGCATCTCACAGCTATGCTTGATCACGCTGAAGTGCAGCTGCGATATGCTGTGTCCTGAGTTGGTGAAAGCACGCTGTGCTTCCACACACACCATTGGCTCAGAATGATTAAGTGTTGAACCCAGAGGCTGTGGGCGTGTGCTTGGCATAGTGAGAGAGACTGATAAAGTCCATGATGTAAGCTTGATTATGCTGGCTATTTGATGAGGAGGGTGTGGGAGGGGGGGGTGTGAGGACACCTTATTCCCTAAGTGGCTAAAGCAGGAGAACTACACTTTGTAGGAGTTACACATCTAATGAGCACTAACTGCTTCTTAGATGGGGTCTGCTTTGCTGCATATTCAACCCTTACATTGCACCCTTATGATTTCACAGACGCATTAAGGCAGCGCAGATCAAATGTCATCTCAAAACCTGAATTTTCCTTTAAAAACTCTAGGTCCCTCATAGTTCTATAATGGTCTTGTACCGGCGGGGAGAGCACTTTGGTGTCCAGCAGGTGGCTACAGACGTCCTTGACAGGTGGGACTTCCAGGAGGCGTGCGGCAGTGAGGATGTCCGCCACGCTGCTGTGACTGACTGTCAATGTCGCTGTGTAGGCAAAGTCCAGCAACGCTCCCAGAGCCTCTGCCGCCACAAAGTCGATGTTGTAGACGTTCTGTTGGTCTGCGGCGGCCCCCGACGTGAAGAGCTTGTGAAAGTAGGAGCTGCAGGACGCCAGGACGGAGCGGTGAGCCGGGAACTCCCGGTCCTCGGCGACCAGCAGCACGTCGCACAGCAGGCCGCTGAGCCGCTGCTTGTTCAGACTGCCCAGGATGTCGGCGCTGTGCTCGGGGAACGGGATCCCCACGGGGCCTTCCTCTGCCTCGCCGGCCCCGCCCCTCCCTCCTCCGCCGCCGCTTGCTGTCCCCCTGAGCCGCCTTCCACCCCTCCCACCGGCTCCTGACGACATCTTCCACCAGCCTGCCGCCGAGCCGCCTAGCACAGCCCCCACTCGTGTATCCGTCCTGCCGTCTGTCCGTCTGCCTGTCTGAGAGCAGAGGAAGGGGGGGTAGAGGGAAATAATAGATCAGTTCATGACATTGCTTGTGTGGATTAAGGAAGAGAGAGGAATATTGATTTATTGATTCACCACAGTCACACCGGGATGCTTCTGAACACATCCCCAGTACACACAAGAAACGTGAGGAAATGTAGTACAAGTGTAGGTTTAACATGAATTGTAATGATTAAAAAGAACACTGGAGCCAACCGTTTCCCCCAAAACGTTATCCTCACTGTTAGAAAGCAGACCAAATATATCTATATATAGATATCCGTCTATCCATCCATCTAAATAAAAGATTCAGATATTATACACACACACACACACAAATGCATGTATACACATATACATACTGAAACACACGAACAAATGTATTTAAATTGAGTGCTATCAGGTTTCAGCTTTGAAAGACAGATTAGATAATAATTAGACAAAATAATTAGATTTGCCAGTCATAAGAGTCAAATGATAATAAAAATGCCATTACAAGTTGAAACGTATTTCTCCTTCAATTTAGTAAGTTGTGTACTAACTTTTTCAACTCTAAATCTGCCTGAACCGAAATCTCAACAGAGCCCCGAGGGCCCGAGGTAACTGGATAAATACTACAAAGTAAAAATACGATGCAGCGCGTCACATAAAGAGTGTGTTTACAGGTTTATGAGTAAAAGTGTGACCATGTGCAATAATGAGAGTTTCTGGTGGCTCACAACAATCGTGGATGCGTTTTGCCGGACATGTTTTTCTGCTAAAACGCCACGTGTGGATGAATAACTGAGTGAGGATGTTTACGTACTATATATGTGTATGCAGGTGGCTACATTACCTGTGTGTGTGTGTGTGTGTGTGTCCAAGAAACCAAATAGAAGGTGGGGATCAGAGTGCATGCTGGGAGCTGGACTGTGCAGCTTGTTCACTCTGTGTCAGTCAACAGAGCAGGGGAGGTGGAGGGAAAAGGGCGAGGGGGGGAGGGGGTTGGGGGTGGGTTGCTGCCAGAGCAGACCCTGTGGAAAAACTCAACAGGAGGAGGAGGAGGAAGAGGACACGCAACAAGCTGCGAGGGAACAGCATTAAAAAGCGAGGTTGTCAATCCGGTCTGAGCTGGTTACCCCACCCTGTACTGTGTGCCAAGTTTCAGGAGAGGCTGTCCCCTCGCTCGCTCACTCACTCACTCACGTGGGGTGGGGGGGGATTAAAAATGATCGACTGAAGCCTGCGCAGTGGGAGAGGGGTTTCGTCAGAACAAGCCATCCTCGATTTCTCCGCGCGCTCACACGGCAAATACTGTGACATCACGGAGGCGTCGATAACGCACAAGCGCACGTGAGCACACATACAGGACATCCAACCGCTCCGACCCTCCCCTCCGCCCTTCTCCATCTGCCAGTCGAGACCCAGCAGGGGGTGGAGGCTGGGGAGGATTGGAGGGTGTATTGCACTGTACAAGAGTGAGGCTTTTGAATGGCATTCCTCCAGGTCGGCCCTCCTGCTATGTTTGCGCGCTACACCCCCACTACCAAACCTGCCTAACCTGGCCGCCTCTCCCCTTTCCTTCCCGAGTTCATCTCGCCTGCTTCTCTCCTCTGATATGTCCACCGTTGTGAAGAGAAACGCCCATCTCCACACCTTCAGATCTGGCAACATGTCAGCTCTGCCGGCGGGCGGGTGAGTGGTAATGTAAAGTGTATATGAAACACATTACTAGGAACTGGTTTCTTCGAAATGCTCAAGGTCCTCAAACTCAAAATAGGTCAGTATCCCATTCATGTCGAAGTTTGTTCATTCAAATATCACTTCTTTTAAAAAAAAAATGTTTAAGGGTACCGCTTTGTTTGAGTAAGGAAATAAAATATTTAACGGCTCCGCCGCCTCCTAACTGTACGTCCCCCTTAACTCAATTAAATTTTGAGGGGCAGCTGACCACAAAGGCTCTGCGAACGCCGCCAACGTCTCGCACAAAGCTCTGCTGGTAACGGACTCTCCGACATGGCAAACGTTATTACCCAAGCCCTCATCTGAATACGCCGAGGAGCGGGAGGCGAGTGCAGAGACAAAAAGAGGTGGCACAGGGGAGGGGGAGAGAGAGAGAACAGAGTGAGGAGATGTGGGGAGAGGGAGGGAGGGAGAGCACGACAAAGGGCAACCGCATTGGCTACTGGTCACGTCCTTCCCGGGTGGAAATAGATCTCTGAGAGCCCATCCAGACCTGAGACGACCTGCTGTTCTCTAAAACAGACACACAGCACCTGCACTAGACCCGGCTTTGCTGCGGGCTCGTGTAGCGGGTTATCCCCCATACATATAGCTGACCCCGGGTCACGGCTTTGTCGGGTAAGACGTTTAGCTGAGAGGAGATAAAACACATTAACACACACACACACACGCAATTCAGTGTCAACAGCGCTCGGAGGGACTACTCTGTCCCCGAATGACCCCCGCAAAGAGCACTAAGACAGAGGAAACACAGTGCAACAAACCTGATCCTGACACCTCCTCATGGCTCCGAACATTCCTTATCACTAATTCATGCCTGCGGGTGACGCGGCCCGCAACCCAGCACGAAGCGGTGCAGCAGCAGCAGCAGCTTTCTGCGTCCCCGGCGTTCCACTTCCAGGGAAGGTCGTTCTCTCAGTGCCCACTGGAAGAGCACCCAGGCCTGCTTTGCAAGTCAAACAGCTACTTCAACACATGGCCAACCCACCTCCACCCTGATCACCTCCAGCTCATCCGTAGCGTCCCTCCACCTCCCCCCTCCCACGTATCGACACGCAGCGAGGACAAACAGCAAAGTTGCCGCTCAGGATCAGAACAACCCACACCGGTCTCGCGGACTGTGTGGCGTGCGTTCTTCCTGGCGATGCCAAGGAGGTCACGCCCAATTGTCTTGTCATTCACTGAAGAAACTGCCATCAGCCTGTGGCAGAAGTTGGTCAAAGTGTTTTTATCGTGCCTGAGATGTATCATCTGAGGGCTGCAGAATTTCCACTCTGGGAGTAACTCCGTCTTTGGCTGACTCATACCAGTCATTCCTAAATACTAAAAGGAACAAACTGTTAACCCTGTGTAACCTTGCATGTTTCTTGACCAAAAGTAAACCACCCAACGGGCACCGTTTAGGGGTTCTGTTGAACTCTAGAAAAAGTAAAAAGAACTACTATCAGACTTTCAGACGGGGTGTTTAAATGATTACTGCAACGTTTGATTTAACCCTACTGAACTGAAAAGCAAACATCTATTTGGTCTCTTTTTATTAAATATTTTCAGTTGCAAAAAGTGATCGGCTCGTAAAAGACAATACACAGTTGATAACTACTGAGAAACCCAAGCAAATACGACTGAATTACTAATTCCTTAAACTTTGATGGAGATGGATGGGCTCGTTTTTTGAACTAAAGTACAACACACTTAAAAATGAATATGCCGATATAACATGTATATTAGCTTAGTGGTTTTACAAGAGAACAATTCTATCAGGTTGCCAGTTCTACTCAGGTGATAACTTAATGCATGCAGGTGTTTGATTTAAGATAACAGCAAAGTCTGGAGCAAAGTCTGGACTGAAAAACTCGGTACATTGAACAAGAAGTTCAAGAATTGGGTTGGCCCTTCGCTCGCCATAACCTGACCGGTAATCATTTGACAGACTATCTCAGCTGGCCTCCGAGGCAACAAAACCCGCCCACCCCGCCCTGCTGCGGGGGAATCACCTCGTCAAGAGGGGTTCAAGGTCGGACCAAGACAACCGGAGTGGGGAGGGGGTGGCAGTTTCTTGGAAGAGTGGATGTTTAACGAGTGCCGAGGCCAAGTGACTCGCTGTGGCAAAGTGGTGGGAGGAAACCTGATAGGTCGTATTGGACGACAAGCAGGAAGAGGACGAGTGACTGATAAAGCTGAAGTCGCACGGGCTGGTCCCGGCCAGGCAGCTTTTACTAACTAACCAGGAAGTGGAGCCAAAACAGACGCACAATGCCAGCGAAAAGGTAGTGGGCGAGGCAGGGCGTTAAAACGCAAGCTCAATCAGAACCCAACAAGGTGGTGACCGAGGAATCCGGCTCTCATGTCAATGATAAACTCGGATGAAATCTCATTTTGTCACCTGGTGTAACCTGCTTCCTTAAGAAGGAAAGTCACCACCCACACGTCGAGCAAAGTTTAATGTGAGGAGCTAGCAGGGGGTTTTATGATGTTATAAAAAAAGGTCTATGTTTGCTCTGCCAGATAGCAAAGGAAGTAGAAAAATTAAACCTGGAGCTGTTGCGAATTACTCACAGTGTTCTAACCGTGTCAGTATTTTGTTTTGTTTTGCTTGTTTGTATTATTCAGACCAACTGTATAGCCGTAGGCTAGCAAATAATTAAAAAAAAAACACATCGTAGTTTCATCCAGCTGTGACTTTCTACTTCCACCAAACTTCGCTTTGACACACTCACAGAAGTATGATGATTTCTCAGTCTGTAGTTAGTGGTGTTGGATTGCACAATATTCTAAAACTGTTCATCCGTTCGTTAATGACGCAGACAAAATAACATAACAAGATAATGTAACATAATTCAATGCCACTTAACTAAAAAAAAAAAGTTAAGACAACATACAAACAACTGAAATAGTATTGTTAAAGTGAGTTATGGTAGAGTGCAGGTGTATCAACAATAAAACAATCAAACTAATTCATTCATCTCAAAATGTCTGTTTCTGTTCAGTAAATATCAATTGAAACTGTGCGAGTTCAGATATTGTCTTTTCATGGTGAAGTCACATGTGAAAGGCTACTGTGCCAACGTCATCCACGGCCGGAGTTCCCTTTAGCTCGAGTAACGTGCTCTGACAACAGGAAGTGCAGCAGAGGTCTGACACATGGCCTCAGAGGCAGCGCCACAAACCAGCCGGCCGCCGACTACAGCGGTCCGGCGGCTCGGTCCGGACCCAGCGGCGCTGTGGGCGTGTGCAGCGGAGGACTTCCTGTGCATCAGTGACAGGCGTGTAACAGAACCCGCTCTGTTATCAGATGACCAGCTCGCTCTCTCCCTCTCTCGCTCGCTCCCTTCTTACCGTCTGGCCCTCTCTCTCTCTCTCTTCCTCCCATCTGTCGCTCTCATCTCATCGTTGCTCCATCTCCGTCTCGGCGCTGCACACTGCCCACCACAGCGCCCACTTCCCCTTTCCACTGCTGAGAAGGCAAAGCGGCGCGGACCGGACCCACCCCCCCGCCTCTCGAGGTCCTTCGATGGCAACCCACCCGTCTTCTCTGTCGTTTCATCCTAGACGGCTTCACTGCAGAAGGTGTCGGATCAGTCCCGTATCCCCTTCCTGATCAGTTGGCCTTTCTGAGTGATTCCGTCTCTATCACAGCGCTCAACGTTATTATAACAAATCCATTATAGCGCCTAAAATGGAATTCACTTATAACTAAAATCCTCAATTTAAGATCCCCAAAAGACACCGGCTGACTCCAGAAGTGTCAGAATCTGGTCTAGCTTTGCCCACAAACTGAAAAACATCCCAGCCTCTTCCTCTCACACTCTAATTTGATCAGGTTGTGTTAGCCTCTCCATAATAAATGTCCCAGGAGAGAACAGAAGAAGCCCCTTTACTCCCCCTAGACCTCAGCACAACAACAGAAAAACAACAGAGAGGGGTTTGTCTATCTGCATAGCCAGGCTGGAAGCTGTGGTACACTGAACAGCTGACCAGGGGAACCAAACATTAGGGGGAAGTGAAGCTGCATTTACCAAAGAAGAGGCAAGATAAAAGTATGCTAAAATGACTCAACTTTTGCAAATGAGCATCTAGAGCTGGAACAGCAGCACACAAAATGGTGCTGCTTAGTATGAATTGAAAGAATTGTACGCAGCCGACATTTCAGTCTCGAAAAATAAAGCCTTAGACTGCCACGGCGACATCACGCAACCTGTCCTCTCCGTCTGTCCGGACCTGCTCGTTTCAGGCCATAGTGGTGGAGGCACAAATATACAGGAATATCAAACTGTATTCAGCCTCACCGCCAAATTGATGGGTGGTGTCTTAGACCTGCCCACAGCCACTGAAGTCCCCTGCAATTCCCCTGGAGTCTATTGTTGGTAACAGACGCACACACACGCATGCATACAAGCATGCACACACACACACATATGGCGTCCTAGTTTAACCTCTTGCTGGAATTTACTTGAGGTAACTGTACTAATCTTCCATAGTGGCAACTAGAAAGCGGCAGAGGGGTTAGAATCAGGACTCACGGAATACTACTGCAACTAATATCGTGTGTGACATTGAACTGGATAAAAGATTACAACCTCATCTGCTCCCGCCTTCCTCAGAAGCATTCCTAACACTTTCCCAGCAGTTGGGCGTCTTCATGCACAGCGATCTTCTTGTACCCTCTCCGTGCCCACGTGTTCAAGAAAACGGGTTAAACAAGTATGTATGAGCCAAAAAAAACTCATTATCGTGCCAGACAGCCAGGGTTGAAGTCTCTAAAACGGTTTAGACCGGACGGGCGAGATTAGAATCCGCGTTTAACACGAAGGTAAGGAAACGGAGAAAAGCATGCCATGAGATTGATTTTGGCTGCTCACACCATGGTCCATCAGCAAGAACACAGGTTCTCCAGCATAGCTACCAGCACTTGAGTTCTAACATTGCATGGAACGAGCACAAGATGTGCCATACATCCTCAGCAAGAAGAGGTTTCTCCAATAAACTCACCTGCACCCTGTCAACACGATCACTCTGCCAGTTCAGCGAGCATCTGATGCAGTGGTTTCAGTGGAATTACTTTAACACCCCCTAAAGAAGCAGCAGCACGGGATGTGCAACTGTCTTCATCGTTTCACTCTACTTATAATAGCAGCGGTGCCATAATCACAGCGGTAGACAAAAGCCTTTAAAGAATATTGTGTCTTAAGACGGTCACAGCGGCGATGCACCGCCAAAGTTCCACTGATGTGGATAAGAACTTTGTGGCATAAACTATTTCGATGAGCGGTGTTCTGTGCAGCACCTTACACTCAGCACTGACCTATTTGCCACTCCCTCCTTCATCTGCAAGTGGGTCAAGATCTCTGAACTCTATCAAGCCCCATCTCGCTCACTCTCCTTCACACACAACACGCTATGGTATTTATTCCCTCTGCTTGCCTCTCTTCTCCCCTCAGTCACGTGTGTGTGTGTATGTATTTATGTATGTATGCCAGTCTTCAGAGGGCTTACCAAATAGGCAGAAAATGTTTCCTGGGCCCTACTTGCCTCCCCTGCC